CCCGCTTATCACATAGTGCCCAGGACATAACTGATTTATGCCCTGCGATCTTGATATAGTGACCAGGGTATAAATAAAAAAAATTTGTCAGCGAAATGAGCTGTTGGTGAAATAAACTGTCGGTGAATTACAGTAGCATTCGAATTTTACAGTAATTCAGATTATATATATCCAGGATAAGGATCCGTATAATCCTTATCCTTAATCCGATATTTATTACGGATCTATCCGTTAACATAAACAGATTAGAATTATCGGATCAATTCGAATTATCGGATTACGGATCGAAACACTAGTAAAAATCTTGCGTAACAATGGCTCGTAGGGTCATTAGATCCCATTTTGACTCTAGGAAGAATGTACTATATGAGCATCAAATTATTAAAGATATAAATTACGTTCTGCGAAGTTTTAATAAAAATAAAAATAAAAAATCGTGATACGTAATAACGATTTATTCAGGTCAAAAAAAATGCCTATAATGGTCTTACCGCAGTAAATGCTTTGCTATGCCGGGAGTAACAAATACGTACGTAAAGAAAATTTCGTTAATTCAATTGGTAGTTATTTTAGGTATCGATGTTACTCAAACCAATAGGTAACATCACTGCACGGCCAATTGAAAATCTAAAATTTAAACGGCGTAGCCACAACGATTGTTCTATATATATTTATAATTAGAAATTGCAAATTGTCAAAAATGAATGACGCTAAAACTTGGCAATGAGAAATATAAATGGGAACTATTACGTAATTTTCCGTAATTATTGATTAATTTTATTACGTATAATTATATGATAGCATCTGATTCATACCGATAGGTAAAATATGATCCAAAAATATCGTTATATAAAAAATCCCATAATTTTGTTTGCAAAAAAGTATATAAGTTCTCAGCATTCCGCTCTTGGATCAAATCGTTTTTCAAGGCTACCATATTACAAATCTATTAATTACGTTACTCTAAGCTACGTGCCTTCAAACATGATGACAAGAGAGAGTGCTGGAGAAAAAGTTGCTTTAATCGGATCTGGCAATTGGTAAAACATCCCTCTAAAAAATATGATATATATAAAAAAAGGTATTGATGTTTAAGCTCATCCCCTGCAATTTTGTGCATTATAAATTCACAGGGGTACTGTGATCTCGAAAATTATTGCAAGAAATGTTACAAAGCATAATGAATTCCAACAAGAGGTGAAAATGTGGGTCTTTGAGGAAACAATAAATGGAAGAAAACTTACTGAATTGATAAATGAAAAACATGAAAATGTTAAATATTTGCCCGGCATTACGATTCCTGAAAATGTCAAAGCTGTTCCTGATTTATTGGAAGTAGTTCGCGATGCTACAGTTTTAGTAATTTGCATTCCTCATCAGGTGTGATTTTTGTTAAGTTATATGTATATTTTAAATTAAAACATAATTAATAAGATTTTATAATTTTTATTTAGTTTGTGCATAACGTTTGTGATCAATTGAAAGGTAAAATAGATCCAAAGGTGAAAGCAATATCTCTAATTAAAGGTGTTGAAACAGATGATAAGGGAATTCGTCCAATATCACATGTCATCAGTGAGTCACTTCAAATCTCAGTTTGTAGTTTAAGTGGCGCAAACATTGCCAATGAAATTGCAGATGAAAATTTTTCTGAGACTACCATCGGATTTAATGTTCGTGAAGAAGGAGAGCTATTTAAAAAATTATTTGAAACGAAATACTTTCGTGTTGGTATTATTAATGATGTTGTTGGTGTTGAACTTTGTGGTGCATTGAAAAATGTGATAGCCATTGGTGCTGGTATTGTTGATGGTCTAAAACTAGGCGAAAACACTAAAGCTGCGATTATTAGGATGGGCTTTTTGGAGATGAAAAAATTTATGAGAAAGTTTTATGGTGGAATCAAAGAAGAAACCTTTTTTGAAAGTTGTGGTATCGCTGATGTTATTGCCACTTGTTATGGTGGTAGAAATAGAAAAGTTGCTGAATCATTTGTTACTTCTGGAAAGGTAGGTAACATAAAATAATTCGCATTCTTATTAATTAAAAAGTTGTACTTAAAAATTTTGAATTTATATAGCCTTTTGACCAATTAGAAAAAGAGCTTCTTCAGGGTCAGAAATTACAAGGAACATTAACGGTTAAAGAAATCAATAGGATTTTGTCGCGCGAAGGATTAAATGATGAGTATGTATTATTTATCATTATCAACATTAAAAACCGATTATCTGATGTTAATTAAATATTTTCATTGATGCATAGATTTAAATTATTTACAACAATTTATCGTATTGCATTTGAGGGTCTTCCACCAAAAACTATTATAAAAGATATCATTTGAACAATATATTATTTTTTTTATGTAGATTTGTATTATTAAAACTTTATTCACCATTGTACCATACAGTATCCTGCAATATGTAATAGATCTTTTTACTATCCTAAACAAATTCTTCAAAATAAAATTATTTATTTAGTTAAAAAAAAAAAATACAAGTTTCGTTATAAATAATTAGATATATCTAATATCAGCCGGCCAATATATGGGATCTTTGCCTTCGGGATTTTCCGATCGGGCTAATTCGGAAAAGTTTAGACCAAAATGTCGGTTCTTATTCATATGTAAAACATCTTTTACTTTACTGATTTGATAGTTTATTTAATAAATTATCAAATAAGTAAAGCAAAAGGTGATTTACATATGAATAAGAACTGGCTAAACTTTTCCGAATTAACCCGATCGGAAAAACCGAAGGGAGATTTTCCTAGCAAATATATACCATTTTAAATTTGAAGTAAAATGAAAAGCTTTATAAAAAAGTTCGCGTTTTTTTGTAATATTTATGGAATTTATCTACAAATGACGGGAAATATTCGGCGGAGCAACTCATGTTGAAGATTTATGGATTTTTTCCGATATTATGGAAGAAAATATTTTATAAGGTAGTATGGGGAAGCTTGATAAAGAAGTACAAGGCACTTTTTTATATAATCACATCTCAGAACATACAAAGTGTTCTTATATTGAAAAATGTGCTTAGAGATTGTGTATATTTACATATAATTAATAGGAGTATTATGTGTTATGAATGTGATGTGTTTATATATGTAGAAGGTGCTTATATTGGAGTGCGACTGTCCATATCTTCTTGAATTCTTTAATTAGAGACTGGTTGAATTTTGAGCTTTGCCAACTCGTGATATATATATGATATATCTGTTGGAGTTTCGTAATTAGTTTGGATTTCTGCATTAATGTTGGCAACTATTAGGATGTCGGTATCATTTTGGGATATCGGCATGATTTAGAATTGGGTATCGGCATAAAATAAAATGTAGTGAATTTTTGAATGGTTAGAAACGCGATTTGTTTGCAATTTTGCAATTATATAAAAAAAAAAACTATTTGACAAATGAATATAGCAGAATTGAATAATTATTATATCGTTATCAGGGTTGGGCAGTCTATATATCTAATGCTTTTTTACTGCACTGGTTGTCCAGTGTATGTCCATTGTGTGTCCAGCGTCCAGCGATATAGTTGTAATAACGTTATGCTTTATCAAATTAATTAAATCCCTGATGATTACTGTATCTATCACAAGGAAATTCGAAAATTTTAATGCTTTGTTATAAATCAATCTAATTATGCTTTATCAAATTACTGTAACCCCTGATGATTATCTATCACTAAGAAATCCAAAATTTTTAATGCTTTGTTAAAATCAATCTAATTGTCTTTTTTTTAAGTTGCAGTGATTTAAAGGTTGTCGCTCATTTCCCAAAAGTTATTTCCTCGATAGACAGGACACCTACATTACATAGAGTTAGAGTTAGGGTTAGTTTTTGATTAGTTGCAGCTATATATTTTTAGCAGATTGTCACCCTGTGTGATGTGGGATAAGTGGCCTATTGGGAAATAACCCTCGGGGAATCGTACCTTAACTTAATTTGAAAGCAGGTGATTTTTGTTTAAATTTATATTGTAATTTTCAGTAAATAGTACCCTCTCGACCTGGCAATTTGCTATTTAATTTGACTAAATTAATGTTAGGCGGACACTTTAACAAGGGATACTACCCTATAAGAAAAATGTACTGTAATTGTATGGGTTGGCTCGGCATGGCACGGGTTTCGGTGGCACGGATCAAACCCGGGTTTTGTACGTAAGAGGCTCGAAGTGGCACGGATTTTTTGGCTCGTGTCGGTCCGTATACCAGTGCCAATTGGACCGTTAATAACTCGGGTTTTGCAACACTTCACTAGTCCAATTGGTACGGGTTTTGGTACGGACGTACGTAAATTCA